GGGGGGGTGGAGGGGGGCTATGTGTTGCAAGAACTAAAATATCAATAAAATTTGTTTTGTTATAATTAAGAATAAATTGATAATGGTATAAAGCAGGTTTTAATGAATGAAAACGACTAATAATTTTTCGTTTCAAAAGAAAGTAACAAATTCAGTTCTAAACCATTCAGTTTGTTTCAACAATGGTCTCTAGCTCTGTTGCGCGCAAAGGTCTCTGGGTAATTATGGAGGACCAACTTGCCCCGAGTCAAGGGGGCCAACTACCCCCGGGTGCACATTTTTTATTTAAAGGATGGCAGCAATTTATCGTGCTAGAATAGGCAACGATGATCTCTGTGAATCTTGAAACAATGTCCTTCAGTTTGATGCCCTATACACATATTATATTCGATCAAAAGCCTATGGAAAAAAAATTACTTCACTGAAATCTATCCATATATTCCCTGTGTTCACGAAAATACGTCACACACATTATTGAGAAGATCATTTGACTACAAAGAACCCTCCCCCCTTCATATTTTTATCATTATCATACTATTTCACATTTTTTCGTCTGATGTTAATTGGCTATATGGAGATTTTCAAATTTTATAACACATGCTTTTGAATATATAAGTACATGCCACAACGTGCAGGAGATGATGCGCGTCACAATCTTTTTCATTCTTACCTTTCGCAATTCGAGCTGTCCATATTTTTCTGTCTTTACTTCAGGCACAGTGGAGGTGTTCCAGTTCTATTTACTGCAGGAGAAATGCCACGAACTAGCCTATTCGTTGTGATGCAATAAACGAACATCCAAGTATCTCAGAACTTCAGTTGATTTTGATAACGCTGAAAAAAGTAAAGTCCCTTACACCTGGGTAATATCTGCAATTTACCTGTACCCTCTAGGCGTCAATTGAACAAGGGTCAATAAGAAAAGAGGCACAGGATTCAAACGACTGCGCAAGCGCGAAAAGTGTACTGTTTGAAATAAACAAGTTGGTGAATTCAGGGAATTATATACTTCCCTGATGAAATTGACAAAGCCCGCGGTGTTTACTGTCTGGTTGATTTAATTTAATTTTCTTTCTGGTGTCATTTTGAGAAATTATATTGGAAATGTTCTGTTGATTATGTGTATTAAAAAGTAGGCCTAAAGCCACCGGATTTTCCTTAGAATAACATTTATTTTGCCTTTATTCTGGCCCCAAGGGAATTTTCCACCCTTCTCCCACAATTGATAGGGGAGACCGGGGCTAGTTGGCCCAGTTAGACACTTTTGACCTTGTGGAGCCAACTAGGAATGAGTTAGGCCTCTATGTCTAAATAAAACTTCTTAATTTACGACCGACGCTTTCTTAGCACTATTGGATACGGTCACTTTAATAAATAATGTGATCAATTTTTTCACCCTTGACCGCCAGTGTGAATGTTATAACAACATGCATTCAAAAACGTACAAAAGTTGGTTTTAGAAAATTAACATCAGAAAAACCACGATTGCCGGCGAATTTAACCGACGTAATGTAACTAAATTTACCTTCACTGCCGCGATATGCTCAATAGATCGGACTTCTCGAAAGCGAGGCAAGGGCGCTTATCTACAGGAGACGATTTATAGCCTCGTAAAAATTGAAATCGTGTCATAAAAATCTAGGAAGCGCTCAATCAAAATACTTCATGGTAACTTCTGCAGCTAGATGACTAGATGTTGACATCTTTTGTTTATTCGGAATCAGCAGGAGTCAAGCAGAACCAACCGGAATGACTAAATTTAAAAAAAAAATCGTACTACATTTGGGAAGAAATTATTGTAAGAATGCCGTTGGAATACTCAGAATGCGCTTGAATCCGCCTGGAATGATTCGTGCACATTTCGGCTGTATTAGCTCTCAAATGCAGCTCGAATATAGTTGGAAAACTAGGAATATCAATGATGCTGTCAGAATACAGTCAGAATATTTAGAATACACTTCGAATGCCCTACGAGTGCAGTTCCGTTGCTGGCTGAAATAGGCTCGAGATGTATTTGAGTAGCATTCCGGCTCACTCTAGCAGGATTTGAAGTGTCTTGCCCTTTCGGTTCTCCCTCGAATGTGATCAGAATGTTTCAAATGCTGTCGGAATGCCGGGAGAATATTTAGAATACAGTCATATTACAGTTGGAATACTATTCAAATGCCATACGATAATTTTCCACTTGGAATGCACTGCATAAGTTTTTAACATGACCAAAACATTCGGGTCGGCCACAAAAATGGGTAAAAATATTTGGAATGCACTCGGAATTTTTAGAATGCTCTTCCATTATCCAGGAACGCACAAATAATTGTCTTTCCGACGGCATTCTTGCTCATTCCACCACTAGTGTGACGAGGGTATTAAGAGCTTGCTCTTCAAGAATCTTGTTTACTGGAGGGCACAGGTAGAGCTATGCAGACAGTAACAGGACAATCTGTAATAACCCATCGTTATTTCTATTTAAGTAGTATGCACGTGGTAACACAATATATATCTTTTCGTAACGGAGGTTAGGTTTCGTGTATATCGGGCTATATTTCCATCATGCCATAAGTCTAAAGCCATTTTTATTAATTTTCTAATATTTGTAAGTATTACAAAAATTAATGTCACTTCCACCTTATGATTTCTGCCCAAAGTATAAGAAATGCAATTCAAACATTTCGGTAATATATCACACTAATTACAGGAAAACAAAACCTGTAATGTTCCTATTTTAAAATTTTAGAAACTACTGGTGACATACATGTTTTTGTTCCATGATATATACGTTTTTGAATACAATGCTGTCAAGTAAGTAGGCTATGCTTTTGATTTTAATCAACCAGTTGGCATACATTTAATTTGTCTATGATGTACATTGTGTATGTCGGATGTTTTTACACTCAGTTGTACTTCTTATAATAAATTCCTTGTATCCTTATTAATAATTCAATTAATTTGTCAAAAAGACTGTTCATTTGTGATGAAAGGGCATTTCACGCAATTATGTAATTTATGTTAAAGATGCATACAAAGTCAATTTTTTGTCACAAAAACCAACCAAATGCCAGCATATAGTTTCAAGTAGTATAACTAAGAGAATTACCAAAAGGCATTGTTTAATTTATTACCCGAAAATGATGTTTGGACGGATTTTTCTGTTGGCATTCTAAGCTCTATGTCAATGGGGCAGGAAAGTAGGTCACGAAAGTAGGTTAAATTTACAACCAAGAATTTAAAGAAAGGAGCAGTCTAAAGGTCTTTTATGGCTGATCGCGTGATCTATTCAGTTTATCCCTTGGCATGTCGAATTTATTTGAGTCATATAAGAATCTAGTAGAAGTGGTTTACATGTGTTACTGGGAATCCACACTCCACCGATGCTCGGTTCGTATGTACCTTTAAGAAGGCTGTGAAGATGCCAGTTTTAAGAGATTTAATCTGTCCTCTTTCAGAGGACAAAAAAATTTAATCACGATGTCAAACATATAACCTTTACTTTAAATCGTGCAAAAATCAAATCATAACCAACCATATTTCTTCTTCCATTTCCTAGGAAACCATTTATTCTAATTACATGATACATGACCAATCATATTTCTTCTTCCATTTCCATGGAAACCATTTATTCTAATTATAATGGTACATTAAGCCACATAAACTGACATCTGTGAGAAAAAAATGTGTGGACCATGTTTTGAATATCATATTCTGAATCAAATAATCTACTTGTTTTTAACAAATTAGGGCTATTCTAGATACATCCATATAAAGAATCTAACTATTAACCCATATTTTTCTTACACTTAGCATTAATATCAGTAAAATTATTGCAACAGACGCAAGCCTATATTAACATACTGGCATATGGCTTATCATAATAAAACAGATGACTAAAATTGAAGCATTTTATTCTCTTTATCTGTGATGATGTCATTATTTCTCCGCTGGGAGATTAACATGCAGAGGGAGAGCAAGGGCCCTTGTGGCAGGAATGGAAGTCCTGGGAAAGGCCACCATAAGGCTGGCATGATTAATATGTAGGTTAAGCCTAGGTCCCAACCTAACGTACGGGCTGCTACGTGTGGTCTACGGCCAAGATAATGGGAAAAACGTGGGGGGTTCGTGCGAGAGGAGCACATCCATCATGCAACTTAAGGGGGTCGCAAACAGCACATAGTAACTTTTCACCAATTACTTGATTCCTTCCCTGCGATCTAGCTACGTCCTAGCCGGACGCAAGGAACCTAAAAACCGTGCGTCCAAAACGTAGTTGGGACCTAGGCTTTAGGGTTTGCCAAAAGTTTGGGGGTCAGTATATGGGACAGATGTTACCTGTATAAGTAATGGGAAACTGACTGAAGTTTCTGGTGGGGTACCATTCCTGTCACATTGGGCAGTTGGGGGCAAAATAAGCCATGTACACTTCTCCCTCATCTAGGAATAATATAATGACAAGCAGTTATACCCGTGCCTGTCCCCACTTACTAGTACAGAGTAAAATTCTATTAGTATACTTGNGAGTAAAATTCTATTGGTATACTTGCCTGGCTCAGTAAGGATTTCTTTGGTAATCCTTGTAACACCCCCCCTTCCCCCCCCCCCCCCCCCACCACACACACACACACAAAAAAAAAAAAAAAAAACTTTAAATAAAATCCTCTATTGGCCATTGTCAAGAATCGTAGGTGAAAACTTATGAAAATATACAGATTTGTCTAAAGAAGATCTTCTTTTCAGCACAAATCGGTGTATCTGACTCCCCCGGTCCATTTTTCTAATCTGGCTTGCCTTGATTGTAACCCATAACCCTCTGCTGTCATATAATTCCAATCCTCTTAGCAAGATCTCAAATCCTTAAGAGACAGTAACTGCTTTTAGCATGCCAATATTCAAGCTTTACAATTATGATGATTGTTATTAATGCATCTAGAGTTTAAACTTGTCATAAGCAAAACAATATCATTAAGTTGATGCCCTACAGAAGGCTACATCTTCCCTGGGCATTATTACTATTAACACCACCATTTCACTAAAAACAATTAATAAATGTCTAAGATTAAAAGAACTAAAAAACTAAAATAAAGTAGACTAATCAGATTAAGGCAGATTTTAACAAAGCCTCATTAGCGGTTCTACTGTGATTGCAAAATTTAGTACTTCCTATCTTAGACAACCTGTGCTTACGGTTAGCTCACCATTCCCAATCTTATCATCACTTTATTGGTCCACAGCCACTGTGATTAAGTCATTAAGCTGTGAATTATGGTTTTTGACCACAAAATGGCATGGTACTAAGTTTGACAGTCACAACATAACTGTAAATTCGCCCACTGAGTAACAATTTAAATTCATCTAGACTGTGACATTTTTTTTTGTTCTGTGTAAAAAAGAAAAAAAAGGGGGGATCATTTCAGTTAAAATAAAGTCAACATCAAAATAACTGAAATATTCAAAGACCATCTTGAACAACAATGCCCCCTATTCTCCAGTACCCTCAGCTGTCTCTGCTGCAGAAGCGGCGCCAGCTGCAGCAGCGGCAGTTCCACTAGTTCCCTCTTGCACTTGGAAAAGCTGGAAAAGCTCACCAGCGGTCATTTCGCCACTCTCTACCTTGCGTAGGGCTTCCTCTGGAATGGTCGCTGTTTGGCCGGGATTGACGCGCTTGGCTTGAGCCACCACCATGTCGCTTTCCTCTTCCTCTTGTTCAACCTCTGTGTTGCATGCCATCTGCTCAAAGGCCTGTGATGGAAGAGAGCCGAGAGATAAATTCAAAGTCTTGGCCTTATCTATTAAAATATGCACAGTAATTGTATATATTAAGCTATATAAAATGGGACACTTCGGTTCCCAAAAATTGACTAATAAGTAACACAAATATTAAGGTAAGTTTTAAGTTAAGAAAAAAAAAATATTGTACAAGATTTCTTAATAAAAATGAACAACAACCAAACAAACAAAAAAAGTTTAATCTTTTTTTAAAACCTAACTTCAGAAATAAACACTAAATAAAACTTAAAAATTAGTATAAACATCCTAACATAATCTCCTATTCACATTATAACTGCACCCATGTAATGGTTGTATAACTATAATACTAATGCTTCATATCTCCATACCTGAATGCTACTGACAACAATGGAGCCATCGGACTCGTACTTGACGTCCCCAGATGACGTGGGAATGAGATGGACTTCCACTACAGTGGTGCCCTCTGGGACAGTCACCGTGGTCCCAGCGTTGTCTCCATCTCCTGCTAGGGCAGCAAAGCCAAAGTCATCGTTACCTGGGAATGTAAGAAATATGTGACATGAGGAAGAGGACTTGCACTAAATGCACCGCAGAAAGAGTGACTGGGTGTGTAAGAAGTTAAAATATTTGAATATAAGATTGCTGAGTGAGAGTAAGAGAGAGAGAGAGTGAGAGTGAGCGAGAGAGAGAGAGAGAGTGAGAGAGAGAGAGTGAGAGAGAGAGAGAGTCAGTCTCACTGGCATCATAATTATTAACTATTCATGTTATATCATAATCAATTGGTTAACATGTTTTATTACTAATGTAATATCAGAACTTGTTGCACTTGGGACTTATTATCATCATCATCATTATTATTATTATACCAATGTTACCATTATCACTATCATTGTGATGATATAAAAATGATTTTCATCATCAGGAAATGAAATGATTCTTTTCATTACTGTTATCATTATCATTATGATCATAATACAATCATACAAGATTTTCATAAGTATCATCATTTTAACCATCATTTTGATCACTATCTGGTATCATCTGAATCACAATTATCATTTTCATCACTGTTATCATAATCAACATGACAATTTGATAATCATCATTTTCATCACCATTACCATCATCATAAGCCCCCTCAGTACCCACCTGGCCCCACCTGGGACCCCTTCCCCTTCCTAGCACTCCTGGTCATCACCCCCTTGGGGTACGACCCTGACCTGGTCACCAAGGTGGTCATGCGGTCCACTTTGGGCGCGGCCTTGCCAGAGGAGCGGCGAGCAGATCCCTTTACCCTGGAAAATCCCTGCAACAGAGCATGGCTGGATAATTGAAAAATCAAATGTTTTTTATCACAACTAGTATTGTATAAATAGTATAATTTATTAATGTTATTTAATATAATAGCTTTGTCTATAATTACCAATCACATGTGACTTTGAACTGTACCACAGAGTATAAAATTCTTGAAATAATTAGTAAAAAAAGTTAGTAAGAAAATCTTAACCAGCAGATACAGATGAAAGTTGATAAAAAAAAAAATTAAATAAATAAAAAATAAAAAAACCCACACACCAAAACAACAAAAAATTAAATACTAAAATAATACTCAAACTTACTAAATAAATAAATAAATAAAAATGAACAACAATTTTTAAAAATTAATCTATCTCCCAGTATCTTTTAACCAGTCTTACCAAAGACTGCTTCTAACCTAGTCAATTTAAGTATTAAAAAAATTATAATCATCAAATTCAAGCTAATTTTCACCAATCACAACTCTCCAAATATTCACCTCGGGTGTTGTCATCATGCTTTCTTCCATGCTGTTCTCCTCGTCCTGTGACATGCTTCCATTGTCCATGTCATCGTCGACGCGTTCTGGTTTGTACCCAGACTTCCTCATATCCGCCTCCGTGATCATGGTTCTACGCTGGGGGCGGATGGGGGAATGCACTGCTATTCCTGGGGAAAAAAAATGGGTCAAGGTCAGATCAAATTATTATTTTTTATTTATTAATTTACTTATTTTTTGGGAAATAAAATATGGTTGAGAAAGATGTGATCAATAAGTTAGGAGAGAAATGTGTCCCAAATATTGTTTATTAAGTTGAGTCAATAAGCTTTAAACTCCCCCGAGATATTTCCCATACAATATTTTAAAAACTTTGAATGTTGCAGTGCAATTCTTAACAACCAGCAGAGTCTACAATATCAGAACTGCCCAATAGGGTTTATATATACTAAAATGAACATCAAAAAGAGCTATAAAAAACTGTAAGGCTTTGCCTCCTGTATTACTTTGACCAAGTTAGCTTCACATGAAGTTGTTGTAGGCTGTGGCATTTCTATACTATGTTTTACACAAATAAAGTGGTTCAATAAAATGACAAAAATTTATAGAAAACATTCTGAGATTTTGATCTCTGAAGCTCTGTGGTGTTAGTTTTAGAACAATGAACATAATTTTATAAATTGCTCGGAGTAAAACATTGCACACAGGGAAATTTAACTCTATACCCACCTTAAAAATAGTACAAATATGACAGTTAACTTTTAAATTTTATCTTCCTAATTAAAGAGGCATAAAACACCCAACCCAAGTGCAGAAACTACTGATTCAGAAGCAATAATTCCTAGGCATGGACTTTTTTACTTTTTTGTCAAGAACAATTCAGTTTGACAGGAAAATCCCAGGTAGGAAAACCCTTAATCTGAGAGTGTGTGCAATCTTCCACTCTTAAATAAGTTTTTTTTTTTTTTTTTAAATTCAACTTGAAAACTTCAACAATAAAACAGAAACAACTTGATTCAGCCTCTCAGTAGCCTTAACAGATTAACGCATTCCAATTTCAGATATTTAGTACTGTAAGTTTTAAAAAGACATAAATCATTTCATAAATGATAAATCTGCATCAAACAAAGAACGATTGGTTTGAAAACTATAAAGAAAAGTGTCCAAAAAGTTGTAACTGTATTCAGCCATTCAAAATCTAGGCTTAGAGCATTACAACTTTTGACCTGATCTGATTAAAAAATTCAATTGTTTAAAAAAAAAAATTAGATTCAATTTTTTTTATAAATCTGGGTTCACTTTCTTTAGGCCTTTTGCTTGTGACAGATTTTTTGAAGGATGATTCCACTTTCTGGGGATTGAGATTTTCCACAAATTCAATTAACTTATCTGTTCTAATATGCTTTTTCCCTTACAGGTTAGGCCTTAATAATTGAAACTGTCTTTTTGCAGTTCAAGAACTTAAAATGGGCAGCCAGATGAATTAATAAACACTCATAACAAAGAAAAAAAAAGGTAATGAGAGAACTTCTGTGCATGTTATGGTCTTTGCCCTCCAAATGGAATCCTGGAAGGTGATATGAAAGTGATCTACAGAAGTCTACATGAAGAGAATGGAACATTTCCTCGGTTGCAAGTGCAGTTATACATCATGAAAGAATGTATGGTGTTTTCTTCAAGTAAAAAAAAAAAAAAAAAAAAAAAAAAAAAATTTGGAAAATGGTGGTTGCAACACCAAGTATGCTGTGTCACATAACCAAGTGAACCCAGACTTGAAAACTTTCAAACAACAACAAAAATCAGCAACTTTCATCAGGTTGGTCAGAAAATGCTAACTTTGTATTAAACACTCTACAAAGGCATCTGAGAAAAATACAGCATCCGACTCAATTACTTTCCCAATACCTGAAAAACACGACAATGAAATAACAGGGGGGGAAATAAAATAATTACAGTTCCCAAACCATCTTCAACTCTGCAGGCCCTACAAACATACAAATAGGTGGGACCAAATCATTTCCTACATACTCCAGATACCAAAATAACAATAACAAATTACACTATGACAAGAAATTCAGTACTGAAGTGACAGGTGTTTTAACATTATCAAGGAGGCTAGAGAGGCTGACATAAAAAGATTATCACATAAAACAAATACACCAAAGTACAGGATAGAGAGAGAGAGAGAGAGAGAGAGAGAGAGAGGGAGAGAGAGAAAGGGATAGGGGGAAAGAGGTAGAGCAAACAAGAGCAGATGTTGCCTCTATGCAGATCGACTCACACTGATCAGATTTACAGAGTATTACCATAAATTTCAATGAGTAGCAGCTACGCCACATACAACTTGAAATCAATAACATAGCTACACATTTGTTCAATTCTTAATCACAGTGCATTTCTCAGAAGTAGAAGCACAACTAAGTTCTCACATTTATAGAATGATACCATTAAGCTCCGCTTAGCTGACTTACCCTCATGTTCCAAATCAATGACAAAGTTGAGGAGTTCAGGTTGTCCCTGCATCTTTGCAGTGTGAATTCGCCTTAAATGGCTCTTACATTCAGACCTGCGATATTGCACAAAAGAAAAGTTGATTAAAACAAGGATTACTTAAAAGAAGTTTACCTACTCTATATCCATAGTTCTTATTCATTATAATTTAGAGAAATATCTGTGCCAAACTATAATCTTTTAGTGTGTATGTATCCTATTTGGGTGTTTATTAAAAAACCTCAGTATATTGTAAGAATTTGTACAGAATATAACTATAATAATTTCAAATTTCATAGCAATATGATAACTTTCAATTAAACAAATCAAATAATGATGCACAGGACTAGTAACTGAAATTCATAACAGGCGGGGGAAAGTGACACCTGGTAAAAAATTGCCAAAATCACTGAGAGAAAAAAATGTTTGAAGGCACAAATATAGAAATTATGAGGCTGATAGATCGATACTGAACAAATATATTAATTTAAAAATTAAAATAAATCATTGAACAGATTTCAATACGCTTATTTCAATCTGAGGAAAAAAGTTCCAAATTTATTTTAAAGAGATTCTTATTACTGTAATACCTGTTATAAGACATAAACTTGCACAGTTTGCACTTGAAGCGACGCCAACCAAGATGGCGGACAGCATGACGACGGAGATTAGAAATACTTCCGTATTGGCGGTCACATTTCAGACAAATGAGGTTCTTCATATCAATGTTGGACTCGATCAGCGCCTCATCCTCGTCACTGTATTTCAAGATTACGGGGGAGTTGCTCTCTTTCTTGGCGCTGTTGGAACGCTTGACGCCCGAAGACGGTTGGTCTTCTTCATCAAATTCGTAAACATCTTCTGATTTCCCTCTTCCTTCTTCATCTTCTTCGCCCATAGCTGGTTAAAAAAAAAATTGTTCAGTTTGTGTATGTTGGTTAAATTAAGAACCATTTCATAGGAGGCATGAAATTTCTTAGTGGGGATTTCACCAAAGGGTTTGGATTGTGTGACCGACTTCTTGATGTGAGCTCCATCATAGACTGAGGAAATGAGGTATATACAGTAATTAAGAAGACAGACATGTTTTTGATTCAAGAGGTAATGAATAGCCTGTGTATTATATAAATTGTTAAACTTGCTTTTCAACAGTATCTGAACTTACACTTTCAATACAGTAGTGAAACCTGAGCATGAAGTCCAACTTTTGAAACGGATTTTTTTTTTTTTTGGGGGGGGGGGGGGGGGGGTCCAACCGGTCCCTCATCTTTCTAAAACTACATCCTACCTTCATCCTCCATCTCTTCCTCAGCTCCTTTATCCTGAGGATCACTCTTCACATTGACCAAATCCTGCTCCTCCTCCTCACCATCCACTGACCCACGATCCCCTCCTTTCTGGATCACGTCCTTGTTGTGACGCGGGGTCTCGTACTCTCCCATCTCGTCCACGGTCTTGGAGAATGCGCGCTGTCGCAAGGTCTCACGCATGTCCTCCACTTCCTCCTTTGACTTCTTGTGGCTGCGCATGATGTGGCGCGTGACACCCCAAAGCTGGGCAAACACGTTGTTGCAGAAAATGCAGGGGTAGAACGTGCGCGTGTCTGAGTGAAGAGACTGCATGTGGAAATTCAGCGTCTTGATTGAAGAGTAAGTGGTGTTGCAGTTCAGACAAGCTAAGGTACGAAGATCAACGTCGTGTCTCTCCGCCAAACGAGCTGCCGCAGGGGATCCTATGTCCGAGCCATCCATCGTGCGTCGACGAATGCGGGTCATGTTCTGGTCTGGCTCAGCAAGCGCCAGGTCTTCCTCCGTGTAGTACTCCTCCCCAAACATGCGCCCGATACGACTCCTCTTGGTCCGTGGCGTGCCTTCCGGGTCTCCCTGGCGCTTCATGCGCACAGCGTTACTGTTGCCTGGGATGCGTTCCAACTCCACGACACGTGACAGCTTGCCGTCTTTCCTGTCCCGTGGGATATTGCCTTCACGTACAAGCACTGGTGGTGCATCATCGTCACCCTGGAGGTCATCCATGCTCACTGTCATAAAAAAACAAAGAAGTCAAATAACACATACACAGACTCATCGTATACGTCTCTCCACAATGAGGAAAAAAAAGACAAAAACAGCATGAATATCATTCAGCACCTTAAGTATTTCTATTATTTCTCAGACTTGGGCATATGCATCAAAAAAGAATGATATATGCACAAAAGACATCTGAACCAAAATTCCCTGCCCACCAATTGAAACAGGGACATTAGAACCCTTTCATTACATCACTAAAAACTGAGTTAGTCCCTTATCATTATTTACAATTATCCCTTCCTTCCAGACACACATTCTGAAGTTTCCAACAAAATATACAGCATCCCTTTAACACCATTTGTGTTTGGAACCAGCAAATACCCCACAAATGGTCTTGAATACTCCCACTTAAACCTGCTAGTATGTACATCCCCATGACTGGTTTATACCAATAACTCTTAGCAAAATATCAGGCCTGCTGCAAATTCACAGCAAATCTGCTGCAATACTGGGGCAAACTGCAATTCCTTCTTGCAAATTTGCAGCAAGTTTGCTGCAATATGGCTGCAAGTTAGCAGCAAGAAAATTTTTCTTACAAAACTCGTTACAGCGAACTTTTCATTCTAAGGGAATTCTTATCATACTCACGGTCGGCCCCCTCAGGTTGTAGAATCACCAGCTCGTCTTCTCCACCTTCAGACATTCTCAGTCGCGCCGAGCGGAACGAGTCCTTGCAGTAGATGCGTTTATGGGCGATGAAGTTGGGTAAGCCTCGGAACAGGTTACGACAGACACGACACTCAAAGATGACATGGCACTCGCTGACTAGGAGGGACTTCATCTGGAAAATATTGGGTAAAAGAGGTGAATTACTGACATAAAAATCTCCAGGGGCTTTTATCTGCCAAATACACTACCAAGGTGAACTTTTGACTTGAAATATTCAAGGGACTTCATCTGGAAAAGATTTATCTTAAATTTTATCCAGTATATGAGGTGGATTTTTGACATGAAAATTTTTAGGGACTTCATCTGAAAAGTATATACAGTAAGTAAAGGGGGGAGGGGGGGGGGGACAAATTGGCAATGAAACTGGGGACTCCGCCTGGAAAAGAAGAGGTGAACTAATGGTACAGTAAGCTCCAACAGACAACCTTTTGACAAAATAATTTACCCTCTCCACTTTCTCTGTGTCAACATATTAAACTTGATTTTAAGATGTTAGACATTTAAGATCTTCAATAACATAACAATATATTAAACTATTTCTAGCAACTAAAAGCACTAAGTTTGAACAATAAAATACAAATACACTGAAAACTATGATAAATATGTAAAAAGTTATAGGTAAAGTCAAATAAAATTAAATTACAATATTGCAAAGTAAGTTGGTATTCAAAATAATTCTTGCAAAAAATAAAAAAGGGATATTCAATGTAAATGTTATTAAACCAATTAGGAGAAATTCGAAAAAAAAAATTTTTTTTTCGTAAATATAACATACCTCATCAGTCCCTGACTTAATACAATTAATGACTTGCTGGACGCCAGATACTCCCAACTCTATGGGTCGCCTCAACAGAGCATGGTCCGTCTTCTTCTTCTCTCCCTCCACCTCCACCCCAGAGGACTGTCCCGCAGCAACCGAAGCCTTACTTGCTGATTGGGCAACAACAGTCGCTGCAGTTGCTGGCTGTGATGTAATCACCTGCTGCGGTGGCGCCATCTGTGTCTGGACGGCTGACGCAGGATGCAGTTCTGCCTCGCCGTTCTCGTTGACTTGAATGATGACGTAGTTGGTTTCTTGCACGGGTTCTTGGGCCTCCAGTGTCGGGGGTTCCTCACCCCCCTCCCCCTGTACCCCCTGGTCATCACCTACTGCTGCTTGGATGGTGGGGGCCTCTTCCTCTTCTCCCTGGACCTGAGTCTAAAATGGAAAAAAAAAATTAATAAATTAAGTAATAAAACATAAATTATAACATCACCATATCATTATATTAATGTCCTTAATTGATAAAGGACTGAGACAAACATGACAAAACTCAAAACATTTGCTTCATGTGAGTACAAGAGACTTTTTTTTTTAAATCAGACTCTTAAGATCATTAGAATTAGCTTATGTAATAAAAAAATCCCCATGTATCACTTATTTAGAGGAAAGTGCACCAACATTTACCACCAACATGCAGTTGTAACCAGTCACTGTCAAGAAAACCTACCTCTGCCTCATGGGCCTCATTCATTGCCACTTGGTCTGTTTCCATTACCCCCTGATATAAAAAAGCAAATATAAATTATTGCAAACTGTTGGAAGAAAAAGTAATATAACTGAGCAAGTTTTTTAGTATCAGTTATTATAACTATCTCAGCTTCCATATTTGATATGATCAGGGAGGACAATTCTTTTTATTTTGGAATACTGTATTATTTTTCTTCCTATTTATTTGTCACTGCTATTAATTCTAACCACAGAATCAACCGCCTCCCTGATGTGAAAAAAGGCTAGAAATCCTCATATCTATGATGGCATTCTAACATCAGGACTTCACATTAATACATCAGACCTACATGTACGTGTGGCAGAAATACTGAAAAATGCACCTGTCCAATTTGCATAATGTTAAAAAAGAAGGCTATTCTTCATCCTTATACCCTACTTCAATCCATGAATAACAAGTTTACTTAGCCTTAATGTGGTGGTTGGATTTGTTAGATGCAGTGAGAGAGGGAGGGATAGTGGGCTGAGGCGAAGATGTAGGGAAGGGGGGTGGAAGAGGAGTGGTAATGGTTGAGGAGTGGTAGGGGGTGTGGTATAGGGGTATGGGGAGAAGCAGGAGGAAGGAAGAGGAGGGGATGAGGAGGGGTCAGGTTTG